ATATATATATATATATACTCATGCTGTTGCTGCTGCTGCTGCTGTTGCTGCTGCTGCTGCTGTTGCTGCTGCTCCTGCTGATGTTGCTGGTGCTGATGGTGATGCTCATTATGTGCTGTTTCTGCTGCTGTTGCTCCTGCTGTTGCTGCTTTTGCTGCTGCTGCTGCTGCTGCTGGAGGTGTATCAACAGCGTCTCAGCCCCAACCAGCAGCAGCAGCAACAGCAACAGCAGCAGCAGCAACAGCAGCAGCAGCAACAGCAGCAGCAACAGCAGCAGTGCATGCATTCGTTTCCTCACCGTTGCTCTCTCTAGGGCCCTAACGACCTTCTCTCTCTCCTCTTCTTTTGCTGCTGCCAGCAGCACTTGTGTTTCTGCTGCAGTCAGGCTCAGAGCTGCGCTGACGCTGCCAGGGGCCCCCAAGGGTACAGCTGTGCGCAGCTGGCTGAGGGAGAGGCCCCCGGGGGCCCCCTCGCCCGCTCCAGCGTGGGCCCCTTCGGGGCCCCCCAGGGGGCCCCCTAGGGGGCCCCCTGGGGGGCCCCCCTCAGCAGCGGAGAGGGTACAGCTGGGGGTATTGGTGAAGAGAAGGTCAAGGAGGGGCCTCGGTGAGCCAAAGGCTAGAGAAGGGTCCCCGGGGCCCCCCTGGGGGGGCCTGATAGAGGCAGCTAGCGCTAGCTGGAGGGGGCCCCCCTCCTGCAGCCCCACATAGAAGGGCCAGCCGTTTTTTTCTGCTGCATATCGGATAGATTGCCATCGTTTTATTGCGTTGCAGCAGCTGCTGCTGCCCCTGCTGCTGCTGCTGCTGCTGCTGCTGCTGCTGCTGCTGGTGCTTCTGCTGCTGCTGGTGCTGCTGCTGAAAGGAGACAGCTGAGTTGTCTCCTCCCCATCAACTGTCTCCTCTCCCTCTGTCTCCACAGCAGGAAAGCCAGCCGGTAAGAAGGCCTTGGGGGGCAGAGAAACTTCTTTATAAATAGCAAACATCGAAGACAGCAGAGAAGAAGCTGCGGATACACCCCAAACGCATGCACACAGAGCTGCGGATACACCCCAAACGCATGCACACAGAGCTGCGGATACACCCCAAGCGCACGCACACAGAGCTGCGGATACACCCCACGCGCCTCCTGCAGCAACACGAAACTATTATTCTTACTAGCAGTATAATATATTACAATTATAATTAAATATTATTATTTAATTTATTTATTTATTTATTTATATATTTATATATTTATTTATTTATTTATTATAAACTCACCGAGCAAAGGAATATGCTGTAGCTCGCTGTTTATATATATAACCCACTCTGCATGCAGTCCCCCGTCTCTGTGTTCTCTTTTTATTTTTATTGAGGGAGCAGCAGCAGCATTGAGGCCCCTAGATATTCTCAGCTGTATAGGGGGTAGGGCCCCCCTGCCGAAGCAATGTGTAAGAAAAAACGCATACATACGTGCTGCTGCTGCAGCAACAGACCCAGCAGAGCTCAGTATTGGGGGGCCCCCATCACCCCCATCACCTACACCTGGGGGCCCCCCACCCCCCACCAACAAATCAGAAAAAGAAGGAAAAGGAATAGATGCTTCACTATCATCCACTGATACACCACTCTTACCTACGGGGGCCCCTGGGGCCCCCCCCGTCCCGGGGGCCCCTGGGCCCCCTCCCACACCAGGGGCCCCTGGGGGCCCCCCAACCCCGGGGGCCCCTGGGGCCCCCCCCACCCCGGGGGCCCCTGGGGGCCCCCCCACCCCGGGGGCCCCTGGGGTGCCCCCCACAGTAGGGGCCCCACCTGGGGGGGCCCCCCCTGTTGCGGGGGCCCCCAGGGGGCCCCTCTCTCGCTTGTGTGTGGGGTGCAGCTGGAGGGTTTTGCGTATGGTGTGTGTGAGGTCCCTGATGAATACCTGGGCCTCTATGAAGGTACGCACTGCTGCCTCCTCATCGTCCTCTGGGGGGGCCCCCTCGGGCTCAGCAGAATGCCGCCGTGCATGCAGCCCCGTACCCCCCAGTATAGAACCCTCAAGGGCCTCTGTCATCGCCTGAGGTATACACATATATGTATATATATATATATATATATATATATATA